TAGTGTTATCAACAACATTAATGTTGTTTAAATAACATCGAATCAATAACAATATCAATGGATTACAGTTTGATAGCATCACCTTAACAATACACTGAATGTCGTACAAATTAGGAAAGATAATAATACAAATTCATGAATTTATAGTCTCCACTGAAGGTTAGAGTAGTAGTAATGGATGAAATTGCTTCTTCTGGACACAGAACACCGGTCCAAATTGGCCACAGAGTTAGCATTGACGAATCCTTCTCTATCATCTACTGGGTAACAAATAAATTACTAAAATCATCCAGATACCACATACTCCAAACACCTGAGGCTATCCCGATTCGCCTGAAAAAACAAGTGCTTTTGAAGAATTTAGTTAGCTTTAAAACATACTTCATCAAATAGCAGCCACAATAATTTAATTTTTGTGGAAAAGAGATTAAGCAGAAGATATGAAGAGGGGAAGTAATCATTTTCGTCTACGAGTGTCAACGTCTGTGCAACAGGTGACTGAATATTTTTAGGATGAAACCCTCACTTAATATACTTGAAATGATGTCAAGGCGTAATCTGATCGTCTCTTGAAACACAATGATTGTTTTCTTGACAAGTAATTATCAACCCCTGTTCGTTCACACCGGAATTTTCCCTTAGTTAATAACAGTTAACTATATTTATTGGTGTTTTAAGGATCTGGACTTAGTCGATTTTCTAAAAATGAACCAGTCAAACAGTATAAACTGGACGTTATTGCCTATCAATAACCTTTTTCACTTATTACTCTGGACTGACGAAAAGACTAGAAATGGCTGACTGTAGTTGAAGCGATACTGTCTGGATAAGTGAAGGAGGTAATCTCGTTTGAATTTCTTCTTTGATGGTAATTGGTGGTAATTGTTGTTGTTGGTTAGGTATCTTCACCACCAAAGTCTTTTCTATATTTACTTAAAGATCTGTCTTCGCTGCCTCTTCCACCAGCTTTCTGGTTTTTCCCTGTAGATTTTTCACATTAAACATAAATCTTCCATGAAGTTCAAATCTCCCAGTGTCTTCTAGATGGCCCAAAATGTTTCCATCTTCTCGCTTCCCATGAGTGGCCTGCTGCATGATACAATGCACTGCAATCAAGAATATCGTCAGTGAATGTAGTCAGCCGTGTTTTACTCCCGTCTTTATTTCACTTAAATCATATTCATTCCTATAATTGAATAGGCTATATTAAAAATTGTATAAATTGGACAATAATACCACGTACGCATAATGCTACGCAAAATTTACCTTGTAAACATTTTTGTGATTTTTTCTTCACAATTCTTCAGTTCCCTTTTCACACGAATAACTAAAGACAAAAAGAAAGATTTCCTTTATGAAGAATCTAATCCACCTTTTTCTTTTTCAAGTTTTTCTCTCCTTTCAGTAATAATGCAACACTTATTATTGCATAACTTATAACACACGGGTTTTACGCATTAGTACGACAAAGTGTTTATTCATGTGTAAGAATAAAACGTTTGAAATTTCACACGTATGATTTCCTATACATATATATATTCCATTAGAATTAACAATGATTTATCAGTAGTGTTGTCAATGTTATAAAGAAGAATCTCTATTATTACAACTACGAAGGCCAACATATTTGTTGAACGCAATCCTACGTGGTTAAGCAAGAGACGAATAAGGTTTATTCGTACCTCTGTTTGAGCACATCTTGTAGATACTGAACACATGAAATCGAGGCTTTGAAAGTTATCTGCCCACCGTATCCCGAATAAGCTTCATTTTTTCTCACAAGTTCTTCTGTAAATAGCTAACTTTGAAGAAGCCTAACTTATAAGTTCAGAAGAAGTTTCTTCAAACATTTCCCCTAACTTTGACATCATTATTTGCCATCACTGTAATAATCTGACAGCCTCATCTTTCCTCTAAGGCTAAACCACTTGGCTACCTAATTTTCCATCCAGCATAATGCATCTACTTTCTTCCGTTTTGGGATGTTTTATCTTCCAATTACGCCATTGGATCGTAACAGGATATCACGTGAAAGAACCTTTAGTTGGCTCTCCACCTACGTCCTTGCACTTCAGGAAGAAAATAAAGTAGAGGATTTAGTCTTGTTTCACAAAGAGGTCATCTTTTGTTTCAAGATATGAAAAATTCCCCTGATACGTGAATTAAGATCACATAAGTCAACGAAGGGATCCCTTTTCCTAACTTCTTAAACGAGTTTACATTTTGTATTCTTTTAATTTCCTGGCTGTACATTCGAATTTCCACCAAGAGTGGTGTTTTTTACGCGTTGAGCTTGTCGGCTTCACTTATAACCTTCCCTCTAGACCTTGCCTAATACCGGCTAAGAGAGATTTAGAAGTTCATCCACCATGAATCGAACCCCGAACCACATGAGTAATGGTTGGTGAGTATTCTACTGTTGAACCACTGATGCGGTATTTACAATTTTAATTAACAACAAAGGTTAGTGGTTACTGTTAGCGAGTAACAACACTAAATCAAAGTGCATGAGTAATAACAACGTGAGAAAAATACTAAATAGTCTTACATAGTGGAGAGAGCTAACAACTAATTAGTTAAGTGATGAACATTTATTTTGAAATAACTGGTAAGAAACAAACAAAAATTGGTTGAATAAAAAATTTTACCACATAAGACCACACAGAACATATTATGGTATCTTGGTCAAATTCAAATGTCATACTATAATAGTATTCAGTATCGTACAACATTTCTGATCTACATTGCAGTAAGAATCTCTGAGTTTTATTAATTGTAGGAGCACTGTATAAATATTATTCCCTTGGGTTCCGAGAGAATGTGACATGACTACGTAATCTCAGGCAGTCATTATTGAGTCTAATCGTAATGAGGCTAATACTATATTGCTGGTCACTCAATTCTACAAGACAAAAAATGAATATATAGTTCTCTAAGTCACACGGTTGACTATTACATTTTCCTAATAACTCTGTTTTTAGTGATGGCATCACAGTGAAGTCTACTGGGTGCATTTTGTTCCATTTGCAATTTGTCAGTCAGAACCATTCATTGAAAACTTCATACAATAAACTTGATTAACGTAAGCATGACGAATGTACCAGAATAATATAAGCTTATCTTTTATTAGTTTGGAGATTCTTCTTAACTGGTTACAACTTGAAGAATACAAAAATTATAAAATTACATCAAAGGTGTGAACACACTTTTTTCTCGATGACAAGGAGTAATTGATGGGAATTAAAAGTAACATAAATCAGAAATGATGCAAGTTGTTAAGACTTAAAAGGATTGACTATTTATTGGATAATTAGACCAATTCTCCTGAAAATAAAGTTCAAAACTTTTGGGTGGAAAAAAAGTTTAACTGGAAAGCATGTAACAACATAAGAAATTAAGTAACTGCAAAAAAAGTGCTTTTATAAAATTGCAAAAAGATAAGATAAGATGAGTAATATTCAGATGGAACAATAAAATGTTTAGAACAGGAGAGAAGTTATAGAAGAGAAGTTGACGTAATGAAATTGCACACTGTGTTATGCAAGTTTAATCACCAAGGTAGTGTAAGTATCACTACTGTTTCTTTCTGCGTACATAAACTGGGTCTTAATCGTTTGACAGCAAAAAGTAGCAAGCTAGGTATCTATTGTCTGTTGATTATTTTGAACGTCCACAGTATGACCAGTGTCCAATAGATGATGCGCAATCTCACTGTTTAATATCTGTGGCCCCCTTAGTCTCAGGTTCTTTGGTATGTGTTCAGGAATGTGGACATAACCCTTCTAGCTGTTTTTCCAATGTATCTTCTTTCGCAATTTAGATGTAAATTGGTAGACACAGTTGGAGATGACATGGGGTGGGAGTTATTCCACTTCTGACTGTCTTAAACAGCTGATCGTTTGATAAATACATACAAGTTTGGTGGCTAGATATGTTCTTCTCAGGGTAACATTCAGTCGGCGTCTTACATCACTAGCAATATTATTATCTTTGAAGATAAGCTGGAGAAATATAAACTCTTCCTCTGCTCTGCTGCAATTCACTTTTCCATAACTACGTTTTCCATGTCTGTCGATGAACTTGTATGGTTAACCGTTATCACATAAGCATTTTTCCACAATGGATAACTCTTTCGCGACCTTTTCATCTGAGCAAAACTTTCTTATACGATTAAACAATGTTCTCACTAATCCTTGTTTTCAAATTATAGGGCAGAAGCTTTAGAAGTTCAGATAATTTTTCTTCCAGACACATTCATTCCATGGAGTGGTGATTTTCCCATTTAGATACGAAACAACTACGCTTCACTGAGGCCAGGTCTAATCTAACCAGTATTGACTTTCATCATTAAATTTAGCAAACTCACAATCATTTCACACTTTATTCGAATGAAGATTTCTCAAGAGGAGAGAAATTCGACTACTCTCAAAAACACTGACAGTCACGATAAGACAGGTGACATAAAATGTCTCTATTTGGCTTAATAAAACCGCTTTAATCTACAATAATTCTCTCAAATTTCCAGAATACATTAGTGAACTATGTGTCATAGATTATTATTCTATTATTCCACCCATATACTTTCACATGAGTGAAAGCAGTATCGTGTCACCATCACAAATGTGCACAATATCTATATGCTTGGGTTAGTTATTGTGTATTTTGTGTTCTGTGTGCGTATCTAGTATAAATTGTGTTTACAATTAAGAGAAAAGAAACTCTTGAAGCTGATAATTTATTCAGATGATTGTGTGCTGTGACCTGTTTGAGGACTGTCCGTAATCATATGCAAGTCTAGATGGTTGTGTATCTGCATAGCTAAATGATAGATGTTTCCTTTTTACCTGCTATATAATTGGATAATTCTACTATGCACTATGGATCAATAAACTGCTAGGTTGAGTTAAATATATGAACATCACTCATCATTTATACATATGCATGTGCATTATTCAGGTGATAACACCTCTATAAACGTTTGCCTGTAAATTGCAATAAGAATGCGCGGAATACAAATACGTAATACAGTTAAGGTAAGTGTCGTCTTTATAATTTGACCGTTTATTCATTGAAATGTTTATACTTAAGTGCGCGTAATGGAAGTGTTGCTGTTTTCATTTCTGTTTCCAGCTTTAGCAGACTATATTTTCAGTCTTCCCTAAATCAGCCTTTATTTCTACCACTATACAAAGTAACTGAATAGTGTATACTGTCAATAATTTCTTTCAAGGATTATAAGAAATAGTTAATTTAAAGATTCTTGTCATGATAATAGACACCTTTAAATTGATGTTTGGCCAATATAAGGTTAATGTAGTCTAGTTGCTAGACCCGTTTACTGATCATTAGTGGGCTGTCGAATAAAGGCTATTTCATATGCATTGGTCACAAAAAGATAATTAGTATTGCTTGTCTAGTGTTAGTCGGTGCTGGGTGAAATATATCAGTCATCTTTGTCGGGAAGTCATCAAGCTTTAGCTTGATGATACTCTGGACATAGGTTTCTTTCTTAGTGGCACTTGCCAGCAAACAGTTTATGATAACTTGAAGGTACAGAACTAATCTTAGCTAGCGATAACGTCTGTGACTACACAGCTGGATGATGCAAGCTGGAATCTGTGTGTTGGTACTAGTTATTTTTAGGTTATAGACACATGATGCTAGTGAGTACCAATAATCACGAGTCTTTGATCTTAAGCTTTTCACGAACTGCTTAAAGCTACCTAAAACGGATTTCAATACTGTCTCAGGCAGCCTTAATTACCATTTCAGTTTAAAATTTAACCTGTTTTGTTCATCCTCCGTTTGAGATAGAATTTAAAGTTTGAAGCAGTCATAAATCATTCCTGAACTCAATATGACGCTTTCTTAATTTAATGTAGTATACAATGAGACCTATAGTATTATTTGCTATCCCTTCTGCATATCGGAAATATCACGGTAATTTTGTAGAATTCAGCATTTTCTTTTCTTTATTATCATGCAAGTTGGAGTACAAATATCAGTAAAGATAAATGAACATTATACTAGAAACTGTATTTGAGTACAAGTATAAGATGGAATAGTAGTAGTACGTTAGTTAACATTATCGACTGGATACATATGGAATGTACAGTCATTCAGAACATAGGTAAAATGTGAATAGACAAATGAGTAATAATAACAGTAGTAATATAAATGGTGTGAAGTTTAATTAGCGTAAAGGAATCAGAGGGGCATAAAAAGACATAATAAATATGAAATGATTTGCAATTAAAAGTGTTCTCTGAGCTGGTTGGTTTAGTTGCGAAGCTTTCGTCGTCCTTCCGGACAACATCTTCAGGCGCTGAAGATGTTGTCCGGAAGGACGACGAAAGCTTCGCAACTAAACCAACCAGCTCAGAGAACACTTTTAATTGCAAATCATCCACCTGAGCTACAAATCTTCTCTATTATATGAAATGATTATTTCACTGATGCCGATATTGTAGACCAGAGTAGACAAACAGAATTAATATGCGTGTTATGCACATACAATTCAGGTTTATTCTCACTGATTACTATAGCTTCAGTTGTGGCTAGGAGATGTAAACGTGTACATACACAATTGTAAAATAACTGGTCTATTTTTTTAATGCGCTGGTCGTTAGATGAGATAAAATACCACTATTTATTGATTTGGTTGCTGCTTTTCCATGCCAGACTAGGAAATGTTCACGAGTACGTATGGCTGAATTCTTCAGAGTACGGCCTATATGACCAGCTCCTCAGGAACAGTTGAATTTGTTTACACGCACTGACTTATATTTTGTTGATTCTAAACACATTACTACGCCACTGAGTTGTCTATTCACATTATATCTTATGTTCTGAATGACCGTACATTTTATATGCATCCAGTTGATAATGTTAACTAACGTACTACTTCTATTCCATCTTATACTAGTACCCGAATACAGTTTCTGATATAATGTTCACTAGCCTTTACTGGCTATAGGTATACTACTGTTTATGGATTTACAAACGCAGAGCCTGGAGAAGAAGTTATCGATAACTATTGTTCGCTCAAAAATCACCTTGTGCTGATTATATTTTGTGGATATTTAATTTGGCGAAATTTCACAATTTATCACTTTTTCTTAGAAGATATGTAATTTTCTATGTTTTGCCACCAACTGATATTATTGATTGACTTTTATAGTCATTTCCATGATCTCTTAGAAAGATTATCTAACTATACATCTTTCAAGAATTTGAATTCCCGTTTCCTCTTCAAACCAGCCACATATAGTGAGGCCATAATAAACAGAGCCAAGTTGGTTGGTAAGATGAATGTGAACCGCCACTAACTAAACTACTTGTCCACTCATTCATAACACTATAGTTTGTCACAACACACCATATTATTGCAGTACGAATAAGTCTGAGTGTAACTGTATGAAGAAGAGATACAAATCTGTGAAACTGCTAAGTGTTAACCTTACTCAAATACGGTGTTTGAGATTGTTTGATGCGACGATGTAAGACAACCAGAATAGACAGTAGGAAGTTCCCGGTGATATAGCTTAGACTCTGTCACAGTGGTGGTGATGCATATTTCAATTTATTTATTATTACTTTTAGCATGTGTAGTGTTTGTTCCTCCCATAGCTTTCATCAGTTACCTTTGATATTTTAGAGTTCACAATGATGTCTCTTGGGTTCTACCTTACACTTAATAAGCATTTTGACATGATTAAAATGTTTGTTATAATCTCAATATGAAATAATGCATCAGAACACGATGAATAAAGAAATCTAAGTAATTGTCTGGAAGGCATCACTAATTGTAACTTCAGCATATTTGTGTCTGAGAAGAAACTGTGAATTAAAGTGCAAACTTAGTCGTTCGTAGCTGGTGAACATTTCTGAGAGAATCAGTTACACTAAATTACTGAGATTCTGTCACTATAGATAGTAGATTCGGTCTCTGAGTCGGAATGTCTACAAACTAGAACATGACTAGATCTCACCAGCAGTTTCCATATTCACTCGTCCTAGTTAGGAATGATACCAACCTCAGCTTCCCATTACACAGACAAACATAATATCACATAATATCACCACGTTCTAAGTGGCTGAAATCTCAATTCAGCGCGTTCGATATATTGGAAGTTAATCAAACCCTCCCTTATCTAATCAGGTTAAACAATCTTTTTAGCATACTTTCGTCAAAGACCTTTGGAGAAAAAACATTTCATTAAACCAACTCTATTTTCAATAAATTTATTTTCTAATTGTTGAATAAGAATGTGTATTTATATCACAGACCATTTCAATCCCTTCATATACTTCCTCATGTCGATGGATCGAGTGAGATGCTACTTTTTCCCTTTATTTGTCAGACCCATCATCTCTCTCCATTTATAGCAACATCTAAAGTAGGATCATAATCCCGCTGTGTTCCGTAGACTTACAGTGCTTCACTGGGGCCATTTTCACGGTTCACTCAGATGAACGATATAAATCAACAGCCAGGAGTTTTGCAGTCGTGGCGAAATGGCAGTTTTTGTTATCAAACAATTTCCTATTAATAGGAGTTTCAACTTAGTCTATTTGATATGAGTATTATTCAAAATATGCAGGCGAAACTTAAACATCAATTTTAATGACCCGATTAATAGTAAAAATATACAAAATCTATATGTACTATACAAAATAAGACTGATGAAGTCTCAATAACTTCAGCTGGTTTAGGTATATCCGTTTACCATGGTAACGAAAGCAATTCAACAAAAAACAACCTAATTTCGGATGCACAGTTCCGCTATAAATTCATAAATTGACAAGACTTTTGTAATTTATGATAAATGGAGACCCGATGAAAGGCGTAATCGAACAAGATATGAAAAGTTAAGTGACCCAAATAGGTAGTATGTTAGAACATAGATGATTGCTATGATATGCTTTTGATCGAAATGCAAAAAATAAACCTGAACAAATAACCTACTTAACCAAATCAACAGAACCAAGTTCATTAAACAGTTGAAAATCAAACTGTTCACTTGTAAGAATCAATTACATCTTCCATGTATGCATGAGTAAGTGGTACAGAAGCACCTGACTAGTACTATATGCCATTGTCCTAAAAATGATAATAGATATATGCGAAAGCTTATAAACAGCATACAGATTGTTAAGCTAAATTTTGAGCTTCGAAGGATGTTAGCAGGACGTTTACCATAAGTGTAGACACTTTAATCTGTACTGTTTTCTAATGAGAGCCGAGAAACACATCTTATAATCCTCAGTATACCAACGCAACAAAGATTGGAAATATCACTGAGGACCATAAGTGACAAACCTTCGACCACAAATAACCGAACATTCAAATTATTGATTAGAATCATCACGACAAAGAGTTTTGAAACTTGGAAAATGACAAAAGAAAACCTACAGCAAAGTTAAAATCCGTCAAAAGACTGCCGATTTTGTATAGGTAATTATACAATAGATTCCTCAAACAGGACTACTACTGCTACAGAGCAGAACAAGTCTTGATGGCATAAAATTAATGTTCGTTAGGACCAAATACCTTGGACAACCATACATTAGTGACATGATTTGCCAAGAATATGATCCATTCTATATTAGGCATGTTTTCTTCCTTGTTGTCTGTTAGTTACTAAGTCCTTCCCAGTGTCTTCGTATACCAAGATTCATCACAAGCTGACTTCATTTGAAGAACCACTGAAAACCAACAGGGAGTAGTCAACAGTCGTTTCGACGTAGTTTGATACTCTTCGATGATGCACACCCATGACCTCACCGGGAATCGAACCCAGGGCCTTCAGGTTAAGAGACCAGCCCACTGAACATCCAACCTGTTGAATGTAATCCAATGGCTAGTCCATGAATTCAAACTTCTGCTGATTCACCATTTATATAGCGCGACAGCCAGCCAATATTATAGTCGATTATTTATGCTCACAACTTACTTGACGTATTTGGCTTGTCAAGGATTGTCACTATAAGGTCATACAAATTCGTGCTGCTCTCAATAACTAGTATGCAC